TCATACGCAGGGCAGGTGGATTGGGAAAGCTCAGCCTCAGCTTCTTCACTCTCCACATCCATTTCCTGCTCTTGTTGGGCTGGGCCCAACTGAGCACTGGCCCCTGGATCAGATGATATCCGAGAGAGGATATCATCGTCCAGTGGCTGTCTCTCGCCCGACACGATGCGCGGAAGAGGGGAACCCCCCCTTCAGCCTCATCGGCTAGGTCCACCTGAGATTCCCACGAGCTCATTCTCCTCCGTGCCTCAGCAGCGGCGGGGGCCGAGCCGCGGGAAACCGATGGTTGTCCCTCTCCACTCGAGAAGAGAGACAAACGAGAACAGAGCTTTTTCAGCGAAAAGCTCTCACAGTGCACGCAGATTGCCCCCTCGAGGACATCGCGTGCGTGCTCCTCGCCCAAACAAACAACGCATAGATCGTGTGAATCATCGGGTGTCAGAAACCGCTGACATGGATGTACACACTTTCTAAACGCTCTGCTAGTGCTCGCCATAGTAGGAAAAGTAAATGCTCTTACTTTGCTTTTGGAATGCACGCTTCAAACAGAACGGTCAGTGAAGACGAAGAAAGTGATGATGTGCGCTACCGGCGCCTATTTTGTACTAGTTGCGACGGTAGTGACGTCATGGCTGTCGCCTGGCCAAACAATTGGTGTTTTTTCAATGTAGGCTTCAGACACGGGTCACGACGAGGCGTTCCCCATAGCGACCCCTAGAGGACGCAGTTCGAAGTTCCACGAAAGGGAACACAACTATTCCTCTTCTTTAATAACCATATTTGATTGCGACCCCTAGAAGACGCAGTTCGAAGTTCCACGAAAGGGAACTGACTGCTGATGGATGTGGTTTTGTTTGTGAAGTAATTAGCAAAATCGTCAGCAGTTAAAGCAGCACTCATTCAAACATTCATTTCAATTACATAAATAACTCAGCAATTATGAAATGCTTGTTTACATTGAACTGTGTGTTTACAGTATATTTGATAGAGATACAGTATAAGTGTATTATGCAGCATGTAATGGCACAGCAGCGCCACCAGAGGCAGCAGAGCGCTGTGTTCAGTGTTGCTAATAGAGCCATTTTGCTGCTAGATTTACCTGGAAACGCTTCACAAATGTTGCCAAATAATCAAGTCTGCTGAAACCTCTTCTTCATGAGCTGACAGAAACATACAAACAGACACACATGAAGCAACAGACCGAATACAGGGCTGAATGTAAATGTGTGAATACAGGAGGAGCTCTGACATCACTGTAGTTCAGTCAGAGACTCAGAGAAAGTGAAACTAACTTGATCAACAACAATATGAACACCTGAAACCATCAAACTCTTTAAACAACAGAATATTGAGTCGTTCAAAGACCCTTGTGAACACATCTGATACTCACAGGTAAGTGCTAGAAATATAAGAGAGGTTGTCCTGAACAGGTTTCTAATGGCAGTGGTCTGGTTTAGTAGGGTTTATGTCAGACTGGACTGAGTTGAACAGAAGCAGGTTTAAGCGTCTCAAATACTCAGCTGCTTTAGTTGTTTACTGCACTGAAATCATATCAGAATTGAGTTAACAGAATGTCATTTGATTGAACAAAGTTAGGTGTTTCTGTCATTTTGTCACGCGACATAAAGACAAACAGGTAAGAAACAGGAAGTAAATGACCTGCAGACAAACTGAACACAATCCTGCTTCACTGCAGCTGAAAATCACTTTTACATTACACAAGATGAGAATAACTTATGGTCATATAATATATTTTGTGGAAAGATTAATCTAATTTTTGATAAGGAGATATATATGTTTGTTGGAAAATTAAGAGCTTGTACTTTGTACTTTCTTTAAACAGCAGGTCATAGTTCAGATTGCTCAGTAAGTTTACGAGTCACTCACTTTGTTTCAAACGAATGATTGTGTTTCCATCAATTCTCACATTTTAACCAATTTAATATAAATATTGATTTAGCTGTCATGGTCCAATTTGGTCAAGTCTAAAAAAAAAGGAAAACTGAAAAAAAAATTCTTGAAAAGGCTTTAAGAGGGAAAGAACAATGGCAGAATCTTCACTAACAGCAAGAAAAACCAGGAGACGGAGTATCAACAGATTGCCTCCATGTAAGTCAATAACCCAGAAGAACACTTTGACTTTGACTTTTCTTTTATAATATTGAATATGTACAGTTCAGGAATGTAAAGCAGATCAAATCATTTCAGCTTAACAAGAATAATTATTGTACATATATTTATTTATTTATTTCGGTAAGTGATTATGTAATGAGCTTCACATTTAGTTTCTGATCAGCTTGTCTGGGTTCATTTTACAATAATAACCAGCTGACTGTACATGATCTCTACATATTTGAGTTTCTTCTCCACTCTTTGTCTCTAAACAGTCTTTACATTCAACCAGCTTCATGAGGTGCATCATGGGATTCTTCATAAACAGTATTGAAGGAGTTCACACTAATCCTAAATAATGTCTCTTTCCAGCAAAGCCATCCTCCATTAGTTCACTGACTGAAGTGCTTCAGTGCTCTATATGTCTGGATGTGTTCACTGATCCAGTCATGACTCCATGTAGACACAACTTCTGCAAGACCTGTCTGAATAAGTGCTGGGACAACAGCCAGACCTGCAGCTGTCCATACTGTAAAGAAACATTCAAGCAAAGACCTGATCTCGCATATTGTGAGTTTAATCTGTGTTATGATAAATGTGTCTGTGTTTTTCTCTCTATAGACTGAACTGATGAAGACACAGAAAGATGTGCAGCTGATGATCCAGAACACAATCAAGAAGATTCAAGACATCAAACACTCAGCAGACGTCAGAAAAGTGAGTTTAAAAAGAAATAATAAAATACATTTAAATATATATCATTTTGTTGCATTAGTATAGTTGGGTGGCTGTGTTTTATTCTGAAGGGCTCATCACTGCTCTAATCCCTTTTAAGGGTTTACCCCAGTCCAGACTTTTCACTGTTTGTGTCACTCAGCTTGTCTGTGCTTTGTAGCAAATTATCTCAAAAGGGAAATATGTATAATTAATTCTAATGGCTTTCAGAATTAACTGTAGCAGAAATAATGTTACAATTATTTAGTTTGTTCATCCACCGAGCAGACCGTATAATCATTTATCAGCTCTAGGAAAGATAAATGATTAAGAAAGAATAGTTTTCCTACTGTTCACAGCACTAGCAGTAACTCATCATGCAGCAAGATCAACGTTCAAACTGTGAGCAGCAAACACAATAATAAACATTACTATGACTAACATACTACTAAACTAAGCAAAACACATACTTACACAATGAAGAGAAGTAAGGAAAGAGAGAGAGAAGAACAAAGACTGGCAGTGTTTAAAGTCAGTGATCCAGATGCGTGTAGAGAATGAGGAGTCTTCATGAGTTCATTAGGTGAGCTGGTTCTCATCAGGTTCTTCCAAGATCCACAGATCCAAGATTCACGGAGAATCGACAAAGTTACTTGAAGATAAAACTTCCGGAAGATCAGACTCAATGGGGATGAATCTTGGCGAGCGTCTGTCTCAAAGAGCTTAAGCCCTGATGGGTTTGGGTAGAGATCTTTTAACCTCCCTAACTCTCACACCTATCCCTGCTGGACTGACCAATGCAGAGGTGTGAATTTTGAGTGGAAAATGTTTCTTTGTTTTGCCCAACACCTTCCTTTGCATGTCTATGGGGGTCTGGTGGACGTTTGCAGTATTAAAGCAAAGTGTAGTAAAAAGAGTAAGATGCAGGTTATGGTAAAATACTATACATCATTATATAGGGGATCACAAGGATGATTTTGAGTCATGCCAGGGTTGGCTGGTTAGCATCAGTTAGGATAGCAGAGGGGATAATGATCTTTGAGCAAGATGTTGTAAAAAAAAGACATGCCGGCATCAGGCCTGTAATTTAATTGTAAAAAGGAAGAGGAAACGTGTACAACGCAAAAGTGTCCGTCAGCTCAGAATATCCAAAAATAGCCAGATTGTGTTTAGGTTGAATGTCCATTCCATATGCTCTTGAAAACAATAAAAAAATATTTGACCAAGGATCATACAAAATTGGTCAAAACCAAATTAAATGTGCCAATGCCCCCTCTGCCATCCTGCACCAATCCTATTGAGGTGGAGGAAAATGTTTTGTGTATAGTCTAGTTCTGGAGTAAAGCTGCTGTACAGTATAGCTTGAATCAGTTTATATCTAGAATTTATTGAGCAGCTCTTTATTCTTATCAAGCCTTCTGTCCAGACCTCATCAGTGATTGCCTGATGACACAGTAAAGTAATACATTTACATTTACATTTAGCAGATGCTTTTATCCAAAGCGACTTACTGATGCTTACACTTACACTTACACTTACACATGCTTCAATGCTACCACCATCATTCCAGTCCCGAAGAAGTCGTCTCCATCCTGCTTTCAATGACTACTGTCCAATTGCACTTACCCCCATCCTCATGAAGTGCTTTGAATGGCTAGTCATGCACCACATCAAGTCTGCCCTCCCCCCCTCCTTGGACCCCTTCCAGTTTGCATATCGGTCCAAACGCTCGACCGATGACGCCATCGCCACTACCCTCCACTCAGCACTCACACACCTGGACAAAAAAGACTCATCCGTCAGAATAGTGTTCATAGACTTCAGTTCAGCATTCAACACAATCATCCCTCAACAGCTCATTCACAAACTGGTCCAGCTGGGGCTCAACACTTCGCTGTGCAACTGGCTGTTGGACTTCCTGACTGGAAGACCTCAGGTAGTACAGGTCGGCAGCAACACATCCAGCACCATCACACTGAACACTGGGACCCCCCAAGGATGTGTGCTGAGCCCCCTCCTCTTCACTCTGCTGACCCACGACTGCACACCGTCACACAACTCCAACCTTATGCAAGTGCTATAACAAGTCTCAGTTAGCTTAATGCAGTACATGTTGCAAGTTTTTTTTTATTATATAATAAATAAAAAGAAATCAGATAGAATAAAAAAAGAATAGAGCAAGCTAGTGTTATAGGCCTTTTTTGCAAGAAAACAAGCAGTAAATAAATAGAGTGCAAGTCTAAATGGGGCAAGATTTTTTTTAAATAAAGAATATAATTAGAATAGAGAGTGCTAGAGTTAGAGAAGTTGCAAAAAAAAATAGAAAGCTATTAAAGTTACTTTAATAGTAAAGTAAGTATCATAGTAAAGTAAGGTGACCAGACGTGCCACTTCCCGGGGACACGTTCTGCACAGGATTTCTAAGTTGTCTCAAATAAGCAGGTGTTGGTTGTTTGCGCTGCTGTGATTGATAGTTGTATGACATCAAAGTACGGTGAGAGCTATAGAGAGCAGAGCAGACGGCTCCATGCGTTCGAATCGCTCTCGCAGTATGTCATACAACGATCGATCAGCTTAGTGCAAACAACCAACACCTGCTTATTTGAGACAACTTAGAAATCCTGTGCAGAATGTGTACCCACGAAATGGCACGTCTGGTCACCTTATAGTACAGCAATATCACAACTCTTCTCAACTAAACACATGATTTGAGAATCAATCAGTGCAAACGGTGCAGGATGAAGTTTATTCTTCTGTTGAGGTATTTTAAATCCCCTTAAAAACACTGATTCTTGCAACAGGGATTTTATACTGAACTGCTGGAGATGATGGAGGAGCAGCAGAAAGCAGCAGAGAAACAGGAGCAAGAGCTGATTGAAGAGCTGGAGCAGGAGATCACTGAGCTAAAGATGAGAAACACTGAGCTGGAGCAGCTCTCACACACTGAAGATCACCTCCACCTCCTACAGGTCAGTCAACATGATCTCTCTGATCAATGATAATGCAGCATATGACACCAGAACACTCCCCATGCTGAAGGATTTCTCCTCTCTCCTGCTGTAGATTCACTCATCCCTGTGCAGCCCTAGAAACAGCAGGAACTGGCCTGAGATCAGTATGAAGACTCATGAGAGTCTGGAGACTCTGAGGAGAGCTCTGACTCAACTGAAGGACACTATAGATGAGAAACTCACACTAACTGGTACATCAACACACACACTGATCAGATAGAAACATGATGATGTACTCAATTCTTTAAATATAAGCTTCAGATCTGCTGATGTTTTCTTGTCATGTGTCTCTACAGAGCTGAAGGTGATGCAGCAGTATGCAGGTACAGTGTGCTGTCTGCACTACACTAGTTTACATTCATACACTCACAGCTTCATTACTGAACGACAATCTGATTAAACACTGGATTAATTAAAAACATCAGCATTAAAAAAAAATCTGTGTATTGTGAAGTTGTCATTCATATTCTGTGTTTTCTCAGTGAATGTGACTCTGGATCCTGATACAGCTCATCCTGATCTCATTCTGTCTGATGATGGAAAACAAGTGAGAGATGGAGACATTAGACAGAAACTCCCAGACAAACCAGAGAGATTTGATACATGTCCCTGTGTCTTGGGAAAGGAGGGATTCTCGTCAGGGAGATTTTATTTTGAGGTGCAGGTGAAGGGAAAGACTGAATGGGATTTAGGAGTGGCCAGAGAATCCATTAACAGGAAGGGAGAGATCACACTGAGTCCCAGTGATGGATACTGGACTGTGGCTCTGATGAATGGAGATGAATATGAAGCCTGTGAGGATCCTTCTGTCTCTCTGTCTCTGAGAGTGAAGCCGCAGCGGGTCGGTGTGTTTGTGGATTATGAGGAGGGTCTGGTCTGCTTTTATGATGTGGAGTCCAGCTCTCATATCTACTCTTTCACTGCTCAGTCTTTCACTGAAAAACTCTATCCAT